GAAACGGACTCTTTCTCCGTAGAAATGGAAAATCGCGGCGACTCCCTCGCAATCTCCTCTCCCCCCCCCCCCCCCCCCCCCCCGCCAAACACCCACCCGCGGGCGCGAAGAGAAAGAGATGAGAGAGAGAGAGAGAGAGAGAGAGAGAGAGCGAGCGAACGAGAGAGGGAGATAGAGTGGAGAGGGTGCGCGCACCTCGAGCACAGTCGCGCCGGTAAAAAGCCTTTGGGGTGGGGCGCTACGGCGGAGGGAAGAGGGAACAGGTAAGGCAGGTCGAGTGTTCGCGGCGCGCGATCAGTCGGGCCGAGGAACTGAGGCCGGCCACCGGACGACACGCGCACTTCACATACGCTCGAGCCGTCGCGTCAGTCAGTCAGTCATTCATTCAGTCAGTCAGTCAGTCAGTAAGTTATTGAGTCGCGCAGTCAGTGCTCCCCCACGTGCTCCGAGAACTCGCGGATTCCAGGCCGATCCCATGCGACAAGCCTGTCCCTGACCGCCCAATAGTCTCAGCGTACGTCATGTGTGGTAAGTCTCTTGTTTTTTTTTTAGGTTGTTGAGCGGGTGGCGGTGCCGGCGCGGGTGCCGCTGTTGGTGCTCGTGCCGCTGGTAGTTCGCTCCGACATTAACACTCGAGGTTCGCACTTAGCGCGACGGATAATCGTCTGGGCGAAATACCGATTGGCTAATCATACGTACTGGCACTTCTTGGAATTATCGTTGCAATTGTCAAAAGGGCAATTTCATTTTCCCTCGTCATTGTCGAATTGCCATTCGAGTTGGAGGTCAATACGGTACTTTGGATGTTTTTTGCGATCCGTGCATACGCGTTTATAAGGTAATGCCGGGCGTTTAATTTTTCTCGACTCAAGGATAATACGAATCAATATTTAACGATCATCGTTTTTGCCTCATCGCGATTGTCCGGCGAATGTCACGATTCTTTGACGTTATTTCATCGAGTTGATACAACATACAACACCAAATCAGCGAATTTACGCGTTCAACGAATTTTTAAAAATACTTTTTTAGAAATATACATTAGGAATAATAATAATAATTGGGCTAGGAAGAGTGTACACGTAGGCACGCTCTAACACACATACGCGTTCAAGAATTATAAATTTTAAGGCAAACGGAAGGATAGCGTCTGTACAAATATTGATTTATACCGAGCAGCAATCGACGGCATATGGCTCTGTATTTGCGAAAATTTGTAATATATAATTCAAAGGAGCGTGAGATGCTATATATCGTGGTTGAGATTTGCCGTGCGTGTGTTCCCTTCTCTGGACTTGAAGAACTGTTACGCAAAGTTTTTGAACATCGGGGGATTCTTTAGTCTCTTTTTCTTTTCGCCCAACTTTAACGATCAATTTAGAAAATTTATTCCATAGGCTTGTTTTGGCCGTATAAAACCTAAAAGTTTTACATATTGACGGGCACATGAAATTCGTAATAACTATAAACGCGTATAACATTTAAGTGCGGTTGTGAAGTGCATAGTTAAGTGAATGCTATCTAAATCATTTTGCGTCATTTTGGATCATTTTGGTGCGCTATATTTAAAAAATATTATTTATTGCGTAATTCTGAAAATTATGCCAAAGGACTATTAATATTATAAGAGAAACTTATCTTACATCGTTCGTTTGCTTAAACATTTCCAAGTAATTTTTATGAAGCCACGACATTATCGGAAACTAACTTCCAACCTTTACGATCAAACTAATTATTTACTTCTACCACATATCTTGCCAAATAACTGGCAATCATTTCCACGAAATATATGCCAAACCAATGGCACAAATTATTTAATCTATCTTGAAACTTAGACATTGATGTTTTCATTAATTATAAAGGATACATCTATTCCCAAGCAATTCGAAATATTCAAAATGTAATAAAAATAGATTAAATACATATTTTGTTTCATTAATTGAGCTTAGAGTTGCATCTTAACGATTCAATTTTAATATAAAATTATCATTGCATACTCGGCTTTCATAACTAATTGATATTCTATATTTTTTAAATAATGTTAAGAGTTTTGAGATATTAAGCGAGAATTCAAATTCAAATAAAAAAATGCAAATTTCTATACGAGACTAACGTTATCATCAGACCCGTTTCTTAAGTCAATAGTTTTTAATGAAAAAAAAAAAGAAAAAAAGAAAAGTAGTAATTAGAATATCTTGGTAAAAGAAGATTAGTTTTAAAATAAAAATGTAAATATTAGTAAATTAATTGGATATTATGAACTGCACGAGAAAGCGTAAACTTAAAACTTAACGAATCTGTTAATTACTATTTCGAATTCAAGAAAGTCCAGACAAATTTTCATTATTTTGATATTTCCTAGATTTTTAATTACAACAAATAAAGTAAAGATAATTATTTAAGCGTAAATTTTCATTCTAAATCAGTCACGTGTCGCTCTAATATCTCTCCATATAAGTTCTAATGTTTCAAATTTATGGTTCAAGCAATTCTTATATTTAAGATAGATGTTAATTAATACTTACGTAGAATTATTTTATAAAGTTTCGTATTCACAACAACACAAACATAATTCATAGTTTATAAATAATTATTGTATTATACATAATATGCAGCTTTCAAATATACTTGAATTAAGTTTGTAGTTGTGTTTAATAGTTTTATATTCATCAAAGTACATTGGCCATCACGACTATAATATTTTATAAAAGAAATTTTATTCATTTTCATTCAAAGTGAATCTTTTTTATAATTCGCTGATGTTAAAAAAGTATGTTATTATCATTAAATCAATAATTTTCTGAATTTCAATAACAAAATTTAAAGTAGTTTTTGAGTATGTTAAAAATTTCAATTTATATTTCCATAACATACTATAAAGTGGAATAATAGTTTAATCTATTATTAGTATTAGTCTATCTATCTATCAAATAATTTCATTAAAGATCTGTACTTTTATATTTATTTATATTTATATTTATATTTTATATTTACTTTCCTCAATAATAGTGAAATAAAAAAGAAAAATAATGACCTTTTTTCTTTCGTATGTAATAACTACAAATTCACGCAAAAACATCAATTATTCACTCGAGAATGAACAATGAATTTTCCATTAGTAAATATTTATATAATACGCATGTTACACATGCATGACATTTATTATAATTTGAAATTTAGTTACTGTAATGTTTCCGATGAGTCCATTACAATCTCATTGTTGCTAATCTCATTAGAACAAAGAAACACGGAAGGAAGCTGCCCTTCATAGAAATCCACTGATTTATTTACTACCCTCGGCAAAGCTATTAATTATGAGGGGCATATTGGCGCCACGCCGAACCTTCACCCCCTCTTTTACCCTCGCCGCGCTAATCGTAAGACTGTCCACCAGGTCTAGACACGCGATATTTGCCCCGTTGTATAAGTAAGCCGGTCTTCTCCTTGCAGAAGCTGTGCCACAAAGCAATTGGCACATGAAAGCTGAGCTGGAGTGCGCAGGTGTGCCGGTGGGCGCCCTCTCGCCCCCAGCCACCCTGTCGCCGCCGAGCAGCCCTTCGATGCAATCCCACTGTCCCTGGAGTCCCTTAGGCCCGGCTGGAGTACTCTCCCAACAGCACCAGCATCAACAGCAACATCAACATCAACATCAACAGCAACAGCAGCAGCAGCAACAGCAGCAACAGCAGCAACAACAGCAACAACAGCAGCAACAACAACAACAGCAGCAGCAGCAACAACATCACCATCAGCAAAAACAGCAACAGCCGTCGCAGCAAAGCCAACCAAACTACGACAGACTCAGTGCCTTCAGTCTCGTGTCCGGATACGGCGGCGATCTTCAGAGGCTGCCGAATTTAGCGCCCAGAGGTAATTTAACTATTTTTTTTTTTTTATTTCGATTAAGATGTTACTTAATATTGTCACTTTTAATAGAAATCTTCACTTTTAAGTTAAAACAAAAAAAAACATTCCTTCTCCGTCACTTTCACACTAATTTCATTGTACTTTATGAAATATTGAGAAATGCTTGCCAAAAAAGGAAGCTTGAAAAATATTTGAAAATACAAAATTCAAATGCAATTAAATATATATTCGATTTTTTTTCCAATAACACTTTTAAATAAATGACAGAGCTTAAAGTTAAAATAAAATCGTTGAAAATTAGGTCGGTATAAAAAGGCGGGTAAGAAAACTGTTTTGTAAAACATGGTTTGATCTTGATTTTACAAGTGTTTCTTATGTAAATATAAGCTATATTTATAACAATGATAAATAAATAATATTTACAATTTGCAACATGAAAATTTTTCACGATACATTGACCGATAATTCTGATTTTTCGTTTTCGATATCTTTCTCGACGGATTAAAGAGTTTACGTTTAGAAATTAGGTATTTCAAATTTTACGACATTTGAAATCCAATTTGAAGAGGATTGTAAGTTATTTAATAATGGAAATTTAAAATATCCATAGTGCTTGCTTTGAGCTTTGAATCCATTTCTTTTTATTTATTTGCTGAAGTTTGAAAAAAGCAGAGCCTCCTATCGACCGTAAAAGCTATAATTTATATATATATATATATATATATATATATATATATATATGTATATATATATATATATATATATATATATACGTGCACGCGCACGCACGCACGCACACGCACACGCGCGTACACACATACCCGCGTGTACACGTATATACATAATACGCAGGTACACATTGGCAACGTAATCAGTACGCCAAACTACAATCCGGTCGCGTCGCACACCCGCATCCTATCGTCATTCAATGCCTTCTTCCTCGTTCGCGCGAACAATAAAAAAAAAAACAAAACGAATAAAGGACAAAAGATAGGCGGACCGGCCACGAAAACGAAAGCATCCGTAGTATAAAGAAGGGAGGCCGTCGCGTGCGGCCCGTGACTTCGCGGCCACAAGTGCCCGTCCGGCTCAGAGTAAAAATGGGGGCCCTTCTCCCTTATGTTCCAGCGGAGATGCGCTGCAACCTCGTGTACGGAGGCTATGGAAGCGTCGCCGCCGCCTGGTGGGCCCATCATGCGGTGGCCGCGGGTCTGCTTATGCCGCACTCCACTTTTCCCCAGCAGCAGACGAGGCTGGACGGCCTCGGTCACGCGGCTCAGGCTCCTGGGCCCCCAAGCCCGGCCACAGGTTGTTCATCGCCGCCCCGCAGATGCACGCCCGAGAAGGCCAAGTACAGTAAGTCCAACCTGTTTTCCAGCCGACTACTGACCTTATCACCCGCATCAAGGATGGAGCTTGCATTGTCAATTGCTTCCTTGGAATTTTTCATAATGTCTGGAAGTGTATCTCCATACGTCTTTAAGATATAATATTTAAACAGTTTAGCTTGTCTTTGTCGGTATTTGGAATTTAAATTTACATTCGATCGAGTCTCGGGTGCCCTCATCAACTGAATTATTCTTGAAATAATGTTTTTTTTTGTTTCATGAAGCATCTTATTTCTCTCTCACTCTCACTCACTCATTCCCTCACGCACACACACACTCTCTCTCTCTCTCTCTCTCTCTCTCTCTCTTTATATCTCTCCCTCCATCTATTTATCTAACTATATATCTAGCTAACTATCTGTCTATCTATCTATCTATCCGTCTATTTATCTATCCACTTATCTGTCTCTCTCATGATAAAAGCCACGAAAACAAAAGCCATTCGGTAAATATTATCACGATAAATAGATTAATTTTATTTAAGCTTTATCAGTCAAAGTATAATAATGTCACTCTCTTTATTACGTTGATGGTAATGCGAAATTTGGATTTTTTTCCTTCTTTTTTCTTTTTTTTCTCTCTCTTTTTTTTTCTTTTTTAAGTAAACGACTGGATTATTAACATTTAAAAAGACAAATGCACGAAATAATTTATGAAAAGACTTGTAATTTAATCGATTGCGAAGCCATTCGAATTTAAGCCTTGTTAATTTATTATGTTTCTTCAAATATGCAAGAAATCTGTTTGAAAGTAGTAATTGTCAAACGACATATTAGCAAAGGTAATAGTGAATTGTCACATATTACGCTTGAAGTAATTACCCATGCAAGCTTCATACCCGCACATACGCATTTGAAGTAACGACAACTTTACACTCAACCCCTATTGGGTCATACAAAAACTTTGAATTATTTCCAATTTCCGCAACGGTTTAATATAATTCCTATAATTTGTTTTTTTAACTTTTTTTTTTATCATTCCTTAAGTAGGGATTTCATACCAGGAAAACTTATGTGAAGTTAATTCAAGTACTCGCGTATCAGCTATTATCTTCAAAGTATAAATAAAATCTATGTTCGAGCTCATTTGTGAAAAATACAATGTCATTTAGAGTGCGCGCAATGCGTTAATCATCGGGCCATGGAAATCAATCGGTATGCCAAAATTTTACGATTCGTCGCAAACAATATCTCGATGATCCAAAATATCTAATCATTAAATGTATAACTTCAACTAAGGATGATTAATTTCCATAATTGCGTAAAGCGTTCAGTGCTTCAGTCACGCATCAGTCCATCGAGTGCCTCTCTCCGTTCATTATTATCACGACGAACCTCCAAAGCCACCCTCTCGCGCTTTATTACAGTGGAAGACGCACCTCTGAACCTGAGCACAAAGCCTTGCGACCTGTCCTCGCGTATCAGTCTCAGCAGTAGTAGCAACGTCAGCGTTATCAGCAACAGCAGTAGCAGCAGCAGCAGCAGCAGCAGCAGTAGCAGCAGCAGCAGCAGCAGCAGTAGCAGTAGCAGTAGCAGTAGCATCAACAGCAGTAGCAGCAACGGCAGCGGACACCGTAAGAGCGAGATCTGGTCGCCGGGCTCGGTATGCGAGAGGGAGGCCCGGGAGACGACGGCGGTCGCTAGCAGTAGCAGCAGTAGCAGTAGCAGTAGCAGTAGCATCAACAGCAGTAGCAGCAACGGCAGCGGACACCGTAAGAGCGAGATCTGGTCGCCGGGCTCGGTATGCGAGAGGGAGGCCCGGGAGACGACGGCGGTCGCCGCCCGGGGCACGTCCTCCGGCCACAGCTCGCCGAGCAGGAGCGCGAGTCTCAGTCCCGCTGCGGTTGCGCAACAGCTGCATCGCTCGCCGCTCACGCCACCCTCCACCGAGCGTACCTTCCAGGTGAGTCTGACGGCTATTCGCCACGAGTGCTTTGGCACGGGCAGGGACCAGCGAGGGATGCACGACTTTCGTGAATCGGTATCCTTCGCGCTTCGCGAGGGTCACGAGAGTCCTGACTAGTGCATGGCAAGCGAGCCCTAAAGATAGTCGAGGAAGTGGTAGGGTCCGTTTACGTGGAAATACGCTTGACAGCTCGTAATGCAAAATCAACATCTGCATCGATTGCGCGCCAGCCACGAAAGCTCGAAAAAGAAAAAGAACGAAATAAGTAAATGCAAATGAAACAAAGCAAAAAAATAAGATAAAAAAATCGTTGGACTGAAAAAAAAATGCGCGCAACGGCGAGTGCGAGTGTCCCAGGGGGTCGCGTTAACGGGCGAATACGGTCTGAGAGTGTGTGCGTGCGCGGGCATTCATCGCTTTCACGTTAGATCTTTGGCCGATAGAGGAAACAACGTAGTGCCCGTGCCTTCGAGGAACGAACGGTGCACCCTCGTATATCTGTCCGAGAAATCTCGTGTTTTTGTGCGTGATTTGGGCCGACTTTAGCGCGGCGCTTCGTCAGCCTCGGTACGTCCGTCTTTAGCGAATCGCGAGTCCGCGCGTATCGCCAAGAGGCTTTTCGCAAGAGACTTTAAATTCTAAACAGGCGATAAATGGTAAATAAACGCTTGCCCGCACGTTCCTAATGGTAATTCGACGCCTGACTATTTATAATCCGATCAATCTTTAATTATCACCCTTCCTTGAAGTACCGTCACCCTAAAATACGTCAAATGGCCAATCAAGGAGGTTAATATTGTTCCGATGCTAATCGTTTAATGAAAAAAATACTTATCAAGCGTAATAAGAGAGACTGGTTTGTTTAGTTGCTTTTCTTAATACGCTCGGGAAGTGAATAATCTTAAGCTATTTAACGAAATTTTACGCTGACAGGCTTGACTCTGTGATTTGATAAAGTAACGAGGAAAGACAAGGCATTGATCGGCCAATTAAATACAATAAATTTCTATAAATAATGAAGGCTAATAAATCCTGGTCGGCGTATGTGAAATCAGTCATAAGGTATTGAGTGTCGATACATAAAAATCGAACGAAACTCGTATTATACGTTCTGACATATTGTCTACGAGCGAGCATAATATAGAGTCGTAGTTCACCCCCTTTGTTCTCTCGTTCAAACTCACTGTCTCTACTTTCTTTGAAAATCGAAGATTTTTACGAGGCCAGTATTAGTTACTTTAGCGCGCGCGCGCGCTTTCCGAAACTCGTAAAAGCAGAATACAAACGGCGCCTGTCACCCTTTCGGATCAACGATACTTTTACTTTGTGCAAATGTTTGGTAGCAAACGCTGCTAGAAAGAAGCGAGCCGTTGCACGATAACGGATAACAGCATGCTATAGGTACAAATTATAGGTGAGGATACTTTCACGAGACATCATTTTGTAAACTAGAAGCTCAGGGATTTGTTCGATGATGTTCGCAATGATATTAAACGATTTAGTTTTTCTTTCTTGTTTGCGAGCAACGTTAAGCCATTAACTATTTTGATTACGGACAGTCCAAGCTTTATCTTTAAAAAAATTTTCATTACCATCATCTAATAATCGTATGAATATTAATTTTTGCAGCCATTTATTATTTCACTTTTGACATTTAATTTATATTAGTTTAAACGAATAGTAGTAGATAGATTCGTGGACACCGTTATGGTTTTGCTTGATTACGAGGCACAATAAGCATATTCAATTAACGAGGGACAATTTCTAAAATGTATAATTCGAAATTAAGAAAAGAATAAAAGCTCTATCTTTCATATTGACTTTATCGAGCAAACATTGTATAAAGCTACTTTGGAGTCCAGTCAGAACGCAGAGAGACTTTGTATTTGTATTTGTGCCATGTAGTTCTGTATAATATAGGTACGAAAAAAAGTTCTACGCAAATGAAGTATTACATGCAGGTACCAACTTATATATATATATATATATATATATATATATATATATTTATATATATATATTTTTTTGCTTTTGTTTTGATATTCATTATTTGATAAAGACAAAAAATATAATACTAGCACAGTACCAAACGAAATATAAAGTCTCGCGATTGACAAACGACGAAAGGATAAGGAGAAGCTATTCTAAGTACTATCTTTCACTTCATTTTATCTATCCCTTACATTTTCCTTACATTGTACACGTTTTTTCATACTTTGCCAATGGATTCTACATGTTGGCTACATTCTACATTGATTCTGACAGGCTAATAATAGTTTTGCGATATAACTGTAAAAAAAAAAAAATCACTAGACGACATCACGTGAATTTTGATCTGCTTTTAACACAATTTCCCGCACTTCAATAGCGTACGTATATTTCATTTAAAGATAAATGCATCGATTTGCACTATTCTGTATCCAATGATTATATCGGCACGTTTTTATCATTGATAGCGATTTAATATAAATACGAAGATAATATTAATGGATCGAGTTATTTTCTTTGTCCCTTTTTTCTTTCATTAATTTCTTTCATTTTTTTACGAGGAACGAATTTATCGAGGCAGAATTTTTTAAAAGCTATCAGAAAAACGATATTGTTTTAAAGTAAAAATGCCAAGTACGAAAGCGCAAAAGTAAAAACGTCGAGCGTCTACAAATACTTTTGTGGGCGTATTTTTAAATTTAATGCAAACAAATCCAATACAAATTATCCTTCCCTCGCTTCGAATCAACACCGATAGATTTAAAGATTATCGATATAACAGCTATCCTATTTCATTGCTTTGAAAGAATTTTTTTTTTCTTGTACGTCTGTTCCAGTGCAAACAGTGTGGCAAAGCATTCAAACGATCGAGTACGTTAAGTACTCATTTGTTGATTCACTCGGACACACGACCGTATCCCTGCCAATACTGCGGCAAGAGGTTTCATCAAAAATCTGATATGAAAAAGCATACGTACATCCATACCGGTAAGTCGACCATAAAATACATGTCGTAATAAGTATACTTACATTGGATCTCATGGCTAAACGAATCGTCATTGTAATCAAAGTGTTGCTTACGCTCGATATACGTAAGCATAATCTGGAGTAAATATTTGAGAAAAATAGTTCATTGTTTTTGTTCGAATTCAAGAGTTAATTTATTATGTATATATATATATATATATATATATATATATATATATATATATATACATATCATCTAGTGAATTATATTTACGTATAGTTAAACAAGCTGCTAATAGTGCTTATAATTATGATAGCGGTTTAAAATATTTAATAGTTATCATACTTCTCGTATCAATTACTTTATAGGTTGATCAAAATTTAATTCTTTCATGTAAATTGACTCTTAATTGTATTCTAACATATAACATTAAAATTAAAAAAAAAAAAAAACTTACACATTTGTTTAATTTTTATTTTTAAATAGGTAATTAAATCATGATTTTTAATTATAATTTATTAATAATGAAGTGTAAGCGTTACGAGCGTATGTAAATAAGAATATAAACACGTTTTTCCTCTTTTACTTACGGGTGCGCATCCGCTTGAACAAACTTCACTACCGCCAAGATACTACTAAATAATTTTTTTTCTTCTTATTAGTATATATAAATATGTATATGTATCGTTATTTTTGTAATTACAGAATAGAAAATATCGTGTACAATCTTAATGATTTTCCATAAAATTTTGTTACTATTAATCGGGTTGATGTTAAAATTTTAATAAATTTTACGAAGCATCGATGTGATTATTTATTCTATTATTTATACATAAATTCAATTCTTTTTATAATATTTATCGCTGAAAATAATTCGTAGCCAAAAACTACAATAATTACAAGGAATTACAATAAATATGCCATCGCAAGTGTGGATTATTTCATCGAAAATTATTAGCCTATGTTTGTCATAATCCAGACATAAAATTCTCTTCTTTTATGTTTAAATCTTATTTTTCTTCATTTTATTTTGTTTATAAGAATAAATGGCTCGATAAATAATTATTTTATATAATTTCCCTCTTCATTCAACGTGCTATATTACGAAGTAAAAGATCAGATAAAAACTCATTTTTCGAACTCATGGGCGAGCGGAACGCATTTTTATATATTTTATGAGCATCGTTAGTGTATGCGTTTGGTCGTAATTCAAAAATTTATGTTCAAATCAGACTACCATGAAATGTACTTTCTAGTATCTTGGAAATCAAACGGATTCCTTTTCAATGTTTTCACTGTAAATTGATTTTTCTTTTTTACTATTTATACAAAGGGTCTTATTTTAGAATTGTTCTTGCATAATAATTAATGATTTTAGTAGTAAAATAATAATATTGTTTGTTTACTATTTTTACGTGTGCGCGTGTGCACGCCCGTGCGTCTGTTCCTGTGTGTGTTGTTGTTATTATTATTATTATTATTATTATTATTATTATTATTGTTGTTGTTGTTGTTGTTGTTGTTGTTGTTGTTGTTGTTGTTGTTGTTGTTGTTGTTGTTGTTGTTGTTGTTGTTGTTGTTGTTGTTGTTGTTGTTGTTGTTGTTGTTATTATTATTATTATTATTATTATTATTATTATTATTATTACGAAACCTAATGCATTGAGTTGAAATATCAAAAATTATTAGGATGAAAAATACAGAAGTGTAATAGTTGTTTAATTAAATGTCGATATAAAATGAATTAGGAATATTGCCGTACTATCGACTTAGTCGAGGAATTTGTTTACTTCTTAAATTTTTATAATAATAAAACAAATGAAAAAACTTTGATGAGTTTGTTTATTTAATAAAAGATAAAAAATTTCTAAAGATAGTTTGACATAACTTTAATTCTCGTCCAAAGTTTTGTCATTATATTATAATGTGTTACGTAGGAGGGTATGCAAGTACAAGAATCTCAATGATTCCTTTCATACGCATACTTTTACAATGTCTATGTTAAGAATGATAAATGAATCTAACGCTGTTTCGCGTGTTTCGCAAAAAAATTGCTATTTGATACATATTTATGGGTAAACGAATGCATGAACAGAAAATTATTATCTTCGACGTACGACCAACTGTCGCGTGGAAAAGAGCAAACCTTCTTCGCTATAGAGTAGTTAAACCATAAGAATAAGGATGAGAAAATAGAGTAGTTAAAGACACGGTATGAGAAAAAATTATTTCAAACTGAATAGGTCTTAATTTTTTAAAAATCTAGCATATTTTATAGATTTTCTCAAAAGATACATTTATTTATTTTTTTTATACATTTTGTATTATTTCTATTGATTCGAAAGCAATTACTACTCGGTAGTTATAAAACTTATGTTTTTTCTTCCCGTTTATGCGAATATAAAAAAAGAAAAAAAAATAAAATAAAATAAACAAAAAGAAAGAACGAAAATTTTTAATAATTGTTAATATTACTTTGTTAACTTTAATTATCATATCTCTTGGCCTGAGGCGACGCCTTTAAAATAAATATATATATATAGAAATATTCATGAAAAGCTTCTTTCCCTCTACGTAAAATAAATAATTTAATATTCGATAATAACAGATCTCCTACTTGGCTATACTATGCTTTACGTATGCGCTTCATGATGAAAGGTGCAAAAAGATGCCCACCACCCATCAAACAGTTTTTATAAACAATCATTCACGTCGAATCGTCCACGCAACAAATATTAAAAATCCCAGTAGTTTTAGTTAATAGTCACTGAGCAAAAAACACTCGTCTTTACACGTGAGAAAAAGAAGCGCACTTACACGGGCAGTGTTTCGCCTCGGTTCCTTTTTGCCTTTCCTTTTTTAATGCTTGGTAGGAAGGATGAGAAAAGGGACAACTTAGGTCGTATTACGAAGACTTCCGGTTTGGCGGGCGCGTGCCACGTGTCACGTGGCCGCGCGTGCGTGCGAGTCATTACTGTCGTGCTAATTAAATTCGAAAAAAAGGGCTCGAGAGCGCCAGAATGGGGAAATCAACCGACACTTTGGATGCGCCACTACGTCGTGCTCAATTTACCACCCCCGACTTGTAACCGCCATTAGGGTGAGCGGGCAATCAAGCTTTTGTCTAATTTTGGGGTTTGAGGTCGACGGCATATTGAGCACGAATACTTTGAGATCGATGTGGATTCGCTTAATATGATTTAACTATTTTTCATTTGATTTCGTTGTAAGTTCATTGTTGAACAAATAAAGCTTCGTTTGCTGAAATTTTAATAATTACTTTCGAATGAATCGTTCCTTTCTTTATTCAGTGATCGGGAGAATACGGTAAATATTCTTATGCGTGAGATTAAAAGAAAGGAATGGATATTTGTAATTTATGTATTTGGATTCGGTTTCCTGCACATTGAGTTGAGTTGAGTATAAGCTTATAGTAATTGATAAATGGCCGAGGGCGAGACTCGTATTATAAAATATATGATTTCTTACATAGTCGTATTTATTGTATGATACATACGATGATATAAGGAAATTAATATATATATATATATATATATATATATATCATCGAGTATCGTATTCAAATTGATACGTCAAAGTCATAGATTAATTTTAAAAAATTTCAAATAATTACAAGCATAAGCATAGATTTTCTCGGCTTTCCGTTATAAGCAATGTTATTTAATTTAAAGCAGAAGGCAAAAAAAAAAAACAAAAAAATTAGTGAACCAGAATTTGTTTTTCTTTTATCAGGTTGCCGATAAAAATTCACAGCAATCTACAAGCTAATTTCTAAAGAGCTGCTTCATACGTTTAGGCACAAGGATATTGCATTAGCTACAATTATTATACGGTTTTGTGTAACTGAGCTTTATGAAGGGCAACGTTGAACTAAGCAATTTACGTATTAGCTAAGCGACAATTGTTATCCATCCGATAACGATAAAAACTTAATTATTGCCTATTAGTGTCTCGATGATGCACATGCGTGAGCGCGTACACGCTTGAATACACGTGAGCTTAATCTAAATCTAGGAAAAGTGTGTTTAGATTTCTGTAGAAACTAAAGCATTTTTAAATCGATGAGTCGGTCCATTTTAATTCAACTTCAAAATATACTCTTGGATTTTAATTTATTGCTTGAGATGATATTTTTGATATTCATTCGTGATAATAAAATTCTAACAATTAATAAATATTTGCATTGAGAGAAAATGATTAAAAGTCTTTTGTTCTTATGTTAAATTAATTAAGATGCGTTTAATCCCATCGTTTCAATCCACTTTATTATTCATGAAATACAGTGTTAATATTTAACAAGTTGTTTATTTCAAGTTACTTTACCTATAAAATTGATTTTTCTGCGATAATTAACGATATGAATATAAATAATAAGGCTTCTTAATCTAAACTAAAATTCTATCCAATTGTTCATATTTTTGTTTATATAATCTTTTTTTCTTTTTCTTCAATTGAATAGGAATTGGTCTCGTTATCTTCAATAGTATAGAAAATTGAATGAAAAAAATAATTTATCTCCATAATTCAATAAAAGAGTAAAACTCAATACTTATTTCGTGAAATGGTGTACACATTAGTATTACATATCGTTGTTAAGTTAATGAGTCGAAATGTTTACATTATCGTAAAACTGAAAAAATCATTATGATATTGATACAATAATGGATGGCGGTGCGAATGATTAATAATGAAATCACTCATCTATTATTATTGTATTGTTATATGAATGCATTAATCCGAGATACAACATGCCCGCATACTTTAGTCGAAGATAAAACGAAACGGAGCAAAAACGAAGTAAAAATCAAATTCATTAAATGTTAAAGATCGTCGAAAAAATAATTGATTTTTTTCTTACAATTGGATAGAACGCGAATGTATAACTTTGCAAATGACTTCTCAACATTAGAAATATATTAGACTGACTTTTAGCATATGAATCTGTATGTTTTGCATTTGAAATGATAAAGAGGCATATACATAGTAGGGAGTTTGTTGGAATATGTATGTAGGTTACAGTAAAATCAGAGTTACGTGTTATCAAATAGTACAAATACACATTACCAGTTCGCAAATCCTATTTAAATTCATTTATTCTTTTTAAATTCTATTAAAATAAAGAAGAAGAAGAAGAAAAAAAGAAACGCGCATAATTAAGCGATTCTATGATGATATGCAGAGAGTATGTATCTACGTAATACATATTATGTAATATTGCCAGTCGAAGTCATTGATTCATTGTGATATTACATTATGTAACATAGATTTAATAATATTTCCTAATGAACTCGGATTATTTATGAAGGATTATAGACGAAGGTATCCTAATTACGTTCTTCTTCATTCGTCTGCAAAAAGGAAGTATAGACGTATAGAGACTTGCGTCCCAAGCTTATTATTCCCCGTCTTATTGTAAATAATGAACCGCGCGTATTAGAATTAGATATTACGCACAATATAGCCACGCGCGGACTATAAGTTTATGCATAATCGAGAATTGATTTTCTTTACCCTTTTTTCCTTGCTCGTGTTCATCAGAAACTTTTCTTCGAACCCTTTGTGCTGTATGATAATATACGCAAATAAAATTGTAGGTTCCTATTGTGTCATAGCCGTGCTTCAAATGTATTACTATGTATAAATAAACTGCAGCTAATTAAATTTTAACGAATTAAAATATTGATAGTATTGCTAGAGAAAATATACGTTTCAAAATAATTTCAGAACAAATATTGAACAAAAATGTTGAAATCGAATCTTCTATGATTTATACAAAGTGGCATATGCCATCTCGGAGTATCTTGGTCCAACAAAACATCACAAATAACATTACGAATAACAAGCATTCTATAATAATAATAATAATAATAATTATTATTATTATTATTATTATTATTATATATCGTGACAAATAATTGAGAAAAAGATTTAAAAACTATGTGAAAAAAAAGACGAAGAAGAAGAAGAAGATTTTGAGGTACCTTTTGCATGTCGGCATGATTATTGATTTCCGCGCAGCAATAATATTGATTCGATAGATTATAATTTTTACGCGATCTTACTGTCGAAGTCGACAATTTTTAATTAAGAATCTTTTCGTCGTTTCAGTTTTGAGAGTCAGTTTCGAATGATTTTACATGATCTTGTCGAGCAACGATGGGAATAATTTTTATGTGTTTGCCAAGAGCGCAAACCAACGAATGAAATAAAAAATAGAAAATATTAGTCGGTAAGAATGGCGTGCGATCTCCAGTGTGGAATATTTGTATAATCGTATGCTTTATCGAAATGCTTTGTCGAAATGTCAAAATTTAGCATCGAGGGCGAGAGGAAGAAAAGGAAGTAATAATAATGAAGAAAGCGCATTAAATTACAAAGAACCAGCGAAACGGCCGGTTGACCAGCCACATGCAGAGATAATCGCGATAATTGAGGGCGAGTCAGACTTATCCCGAAAGAGTCAAGGAGAGACCTTAGGGCTTAGCCGAACTAGTGGCGCCCAGGTAAATATTTATAGAGTCAGGTAGGGCATGGGCATTGGTCGACTTGTGCCTCGGATGCATGCGGCGATGGCGAAACAAGTGCTGTAAGAGGAAAAGGAAATAGAAAGGCGTTTAGGAGCGGAGGGAGAGTGGGCCGAAGGGTCGCAGCGCGCGATAATGAGGTGCGAGATGGATCGATAGGAGCAGCTCTTCTTCGGTCGGTTGAAAAAAAAGGGCCAGCGGCACATAAGACACACCTGGCCCTCGTGTTCCCGATGTCCCATCCAATGCCGCGCTTTTTCTGCATTTCGGTTAGCGCGCTTTTCCTCTGCCTCCTTTAAATTCCGGGCCATTCGCGCGAGCCTTTCCCCGCACCCGCACCAAAAAATCCTTCAGATTTTTCATAAATCATTTTCCGTTGGCGGCATCTGGCCGATGTTCGAGAAGATTGGGGGCTGGTATTTTTAATTTACCGAAACGCCACTTGACGAACGGTGAATTCATCCAGATTCTACGTATTCCAGTATTTCAAAGTACATCCAATAACACGGAAATTATCATTTGCATATTTATCGTGATGTGTGTGTGTGTGTGTGTGTGTGTGTATTTTTTTTTTTTTCGTTCAATTACAAGGCTTTTACATACGTACAGCCTCGTGATATCGCTTGAAATTTCAATGTTTTTTTGTTTTTTGTTTTATGTTTTTATTTTATTTTTTTTTATCTTATTTAATACGGTTTTCGTTATTTCAATTTTCTCTGCGAAAACGCGCACTTTCGATAATTCGGTGCTCGCTAAAAGTGCTCGTAAGAAAACTTTAGCATCATAAATAATTCAAAATATACTTAAATATGTCAATTCTCATCTTATTTCCGAGGCTCATTGTGAAGATCTTTCATATGAATTATCATCGACAAATAAGCCAAATTATGCAAATATTTTTCACATATATACACATCAAGTTTATATTACTAAATTATTCAATGAACCATGAAACGAGGTATTTTAAATATTTAAAAAAAAATACATTCTTATTAAAATAATTGTTATAATTTTTTGTCATTTGATTGGGAGGGCGATTACATTTCGTAAGAATTTGTAATTATGTTAAATTGGCCCGAATACTCGATTTCTTAGGAAAAGAAGGTACCACAGGGCACATACTTGTTGTATGGAAAAAAAATGTGTTGTACAGAATTTAAACAAATTGCATACGTCGGATATTCGACGTATATTCGTCAATGCTAATTGATTACATACTTACGACGATTTTATAGGAAATATTTTATTAAAGACAGTCAAAAGTATTATAAATTTATATCGGTTGATACAGCTGCGTTTGATTAACCTTGAGTCATAACTCGAAACGCGATTCCTTTCGTCTTTATATATTCATTTTTTTTTTTTTTTTTTTTTTTTTTTTTTTTTTTATCACACCACTCCGGGATGATACATCGGCGTCAATGCTAACGAATGAGAAATGAAAAATATTTGATGATATATTATCAATTGCGATACGTTTGTATTCATTGGATCGTAGATATACCCACAAATAGCCAACTGGAGTAAAATGTCATGGTATTAGTCATGAAAATTACACATCGGTAGCGCTTGATCTTGAAATTGACAAAGAGGAAAGTCAGGTATTAGATAATATTCCTTTGAATTATACGGGGGTTGCGCGTCTGTCTATGTTTATGTTTTAGTATACATTCGTGACAGCCCCTGATCGGGCATAGATTCAGATAACTGTCTCGCTCTGTGTGTGTGTGTGTGTGTGTGTGTGTGTGTGTTTTCTCTTTTTTTTCCTATTTGAAAGACGCATCAGTATTTTTATGGAATGATAATCATATGTTTCTACGAGGTATTTACGCGTCAAAGTTTCAACATATTAGACTTTTTTTTGATAGGTGATAATTATTTCAACTATCTTGGAATATAATCGTAACATAAGCAAATTGAAATGTACCTGTTATTTCGCAATTTAATATATGCTCATTAGGAGTAACACGTAATGCTCAATTATTTTAATTGCTTGATTTTTCAAAATTTAATTAACGGTGTATTTTTTTTCTCTCTCTCTTTTCTTTTTTCTCTTCTTATAATATAAAAATCTTTTGATTTTTCCTTCGTAGAAGCGAAATAAATGCCCATGTTTGATAAAACGAATAATTTTATATATAAATCAATATAATGCCGAGCCAACAACAATGTAATGTATACTTATTATGGAAGAAAAATGAAGTCTTATTATGTCGAAAGTGAAATGAAATATAATTACGACCGAACGATGTTTCCTTTACTTTCCATGCGGCAGAATGCTCGTCGGGCCCTTAAAACGCTAAATTAATCTTTAATTTCTTTCACGGGCAAAAAATCTAAGTCCACTTTGTAATTTGTATCCGACTCGCACGAATGCCCCATGAAATAAATAAATTATTGTTAAAGTACAAATACACGCAGTGATCAGAGATGGATGTAGAGAGAGAGAGAGAGAGAGAGAGAGAGAGAGAGAGAGAGAGAGTGAGTGAGTGAGTGGGGGCAGGGATGAATGGGAGGGGCGAAGAAAGAAAGAAAGAAAGAAAGCGAAATAATAACCTATTGCCGTATTTGTTTTCTGTTTCTCGTAGGTGAGAAGCCGCACAAGTGTGTGGTGTGCGGCAAGGCCTTCTCCCAGAGCAGCAACTTGATAACGCACATGCGCAAGCACACGGGTTACAAGCCGTTCCAGTGCGGCCTTTGCGACAAGGCCTTCCAGCGTAAGGTCGACTTGCGCAGGCACCGCGAGGGTCAACATCCGACAGCGCCGGCACTCGATTATCGCTCGCTCAAGGTGCCGCTCGCCCCCACAGTGTCGACGTCGGCGACGGCGATGACGGCAGCGTCGATCACGGCAGACGACACGACCTACCACAGCCCCATGGACACCACTAGCAACAGCTGAGAGACCGAGGCACGAGTCTTGTAGCGACGACCTTTATCAGGGTTACGGTGCAAATAAACCTTAGAATTTTGTTTATCGCGGCGGCTTTTGAGATTCCGTTGGTCCGCATCGCATCACGGGACATGGGTCTGGCGTGACCAAGGCTACGGACGTGGTGAAGTACACATTTACCGGTACGTCCACTCTTACGGATGATGATTTCGCAGCGACGGCGCATTCATTCGGCAAGCTTTAGGAACAAGAATTATGTAATATATTTGCTTGAAGGGCGTATCCATTCTGTCTCATCTAGGTTGTTCAATGCAGAAGGATTACCTCCTCATATTATCCCGATTGTTGAGGACCATTTACAATTACGGCTCTTATCCTATACTTATGTACAGACGTATTTATGTATTATGAAGTAGCAGTAGTCGATTATTTTATGCAATACGGCTCGACGCGCCTATTCACCGTTTGCCAGCTTATAAAGCCGACGATTGTTGATCGTTCTATAATCTAAACGTATCGTTTAAGGCTTCGTCCTATGATATTTAGTTATCGTCGTCTTCATAATGCAAGAATCCATCGATCCTATTTATAACGAACGTTTGAAAAATAATCTATCGATCAAGGGGATACGATGTAAGGGAGGAACGAGGCTCCCCGAGTTATTAGAAAACGTCATTATTTGTCATCCTCGGGGCAAGCTTATTAAACGTTAAAAACAACAGCACGTGATAATTGGAATAATTAAATAATTATGATTTTTATAAGCGTATCGGCGTTAGCGGTAGAGCGCATTCGATTGCTTATTTTGTTGATAAAAATGATTCATCATCATTCGGGAGGCGGTTTGGAGGTAACGTAAGTAACGGACAAAAATACCAATGGCACATTACATCGAGAGCACGAAAATAACGAGCGCAATCGTTAATCAAAATCAAAATTAATATTCACGTGCAAACGCTTTTATCGTGCGCTCTATTGATTCATCTGAACTTTTTGTTCAGTCAAATGATCAAACAAGGCGAGCAGTCAATAGGCTGAAAAACCGAGATAACGTTTATTATAATCTTCAGCATCGGATAAAGGCTTATCGTCAAATAGATTAAGACACACTGCGTGCTTTTGTAAATTAATGAGCATCGGCGCTGCGGCGGTAAGGTCGAAGGGACGTGGCTTCGTGGAGATGTAATAAGTGCCGAGGCCCCGCGTAAGCTCCTCGGCAAGTAAAGGAGCGACAGGGAGGATCGAGTGGCCGAAACTAAAGGCATTTCCCTCTGCGAGCTCCTCGCGTGCGTAACGTAAGAATGCCGGCACGTGAGCGCAAATTGGCGCCGAGAGCGGAGAATAGGTGGCGAGCACCTGTTGAGGCGATACCGATCGCTTTCTATCCTACGCTTTGTCTTTATTGTCGGAATTATCCGCTGGAGGAGAATGGAGAAGAGAGGAAAAAAGATGACGAAATTCTCGCTGCTTCGCCGCAGCTCCAACGCTCCATCCACCGTCCCCGCGCGAGTAGCTTCCTTTCTTCTTTTTTTTCTCCTCTTTCTTTTTTTCCATAAATCGTAGCGTAATTGGTGGGAATATCTTGCCGTGCACAGCCAACGATGTATTACAGTCTTTATTAGTCGGATATTTTGCGGACTTTTGTAAGTTACTTTTCCAATGCGTACACAAGAAACACTTTGGCCTTAAAGTGCCTTATTAATACAGTGTAATATTAAGAGTACAAAACACGGCTTTTAAATGTCTGTAAAGTGTGCAGACGCGCATACGCATACGCTCTATTAAACACGTATGCGCATGTTTATATGTATACGTCGATGGCATTGTGTAAAGATTTTCAAATTTCGATGAAACACTGTTATATCGCCTTGACACAAGTTTTTACGCATACTAAGACACTTTAAACGAAAATGAAAATTTACGAATAACAACTATGTTTTAGAAGAAGAAGAAGAAAAAGAAGAAGAAGAAGAAGAAGAAGAAGAAGAAAAATGATAAAAAATTTATTAGTAAATAGAAGCTTGTTAAGTGTTAAGCTGATAAATATACGGCAAGTTGACATACAGCCATAGCTTTTTCGATTAAATTATTGAACAGTACGACCGTGAGTTAAAAAAAAAAAAAGTATTTAACGACCGACATTTTACAATGTTTTACCTCTTACGCACACTAATTAAAAACACCATTATTAAAGAGAGAAAATCATTCATTCGAATGTTAAATACAATTACGCGTGCAATTGAAAGTGAATAATAATGTAAAAACTATTATTCCGAAGTGCTCTTATAAAAATACAACGGCGTTATTAATGTATCAATTTTCTGTTTCATTTCGAATATTGCGTTGCAAGAATATTTATCTTAATATATCCATATACGCGTATTATCATTCTTAATTATTTTAAAAGGTATTACACACTTGGCGCAATCACATTACATACATTGAATTATCAAAGGGTTATTACATCTTGTAATCTCTATGCAGCAATACACTATGATATGTAACATGTAAATAATATGATAGTTTTTATTACAATACGTGTCATAGTCCGTCGAAGCCAAAGCCGTTCGTGAAATCGATGAATTGTGCATTTGATATGAAAAAAGGCAAATTACTTTCTCTATTAACAATATTTATTTGCACTATTTAAAGAATCGAGTGATCTTTTTATTACTTAATTATTTATTAATTTGAATATAATGAAACTGGTAAGATTGTAATTCTTGGCCAATATCATATCACTAAAGAAATATAAAGACATATAAAATTTCCAAACTAAATACACTTAAAAAAATATATTTATTAAATATACATTTATATAGGGAAGATGACTTTTTTGGAACGATGAAATTCATATCAATTTATTTTTCGCACTTAGGAAGAATTCGGCATAAGTTAAAGAAAATATATGTGAAAAAGTAAAAAAAACAAAAACAAAAACAAAAAAAAAATACCAACGGGTGACTTTAACCGCAAAGTTTTTAATAATTGTCGGGCAAAAGTTTCATAACGGCTAGAGGACCAAAGATAGGATAAGATATACCACAGAAGATTCGATCGTTCGTGGAATTGCAGGTTTTTAAAGCATTTGCATTCATTTTTTTTTTTTTTTTTTTTTTTTTTTTTTTTTTTATCTTTGCCATAATTTATACAAAAAAGAAAGAATAACGAGAAGATTAATAAACAACGCAAATAAATTGTGGCGATGCTTCGAGTTATAGCATATACAACAATGTATGCCTATGATGTATACCGACTGTACCATATAATTTTATAAATACACCTCTATATATATATGCGTGTGCGTGTGCGTGTGCGTGCCTGCGTTTGTGTTATGTGTGCGCGCGTGAGCATGCGCATGCGTACGTGTGTACAGAAAGTAACTTTTAAGTAAATTATAATCTGACGTAGTCAAAGTAGAGCTTGGATCATAAGTTAAAAAGAAAAAGAAAAATGAAAGTAAATGAAGAGCCAAAAATGGACTAAGGATTAATTAGCAAACAATGCACATATCACAGACACACATAAACACAGAGAGGATTTTCATTCATAGACATTAAGGATTGTAATTTTTTCATGACGAGAGATCAAGCAGTATAATAATAATTGTATAGAAATAAGACACCGCGAATTTACTTTCTGCTTAAGAGGTACACAACTTATCATGTCCAATGTGTTTTAGGATTTTCTTTCATCAAGTTTGCGTCCTCGGCTTGGTGATATATAAAAATGTCTTTAATTAAGTGCCGAGAATGAATGTGTATGTTACAGGCAGTTAAATAGATAGATGGTTAGATAAATAGATAGATAGATAGATAGATTGATTGATTGAGAGAGAGAGAGAGAGAGAGAGAGAGAGAGAGAATGCCGCATGAATGTTGTTTGATAAAAGAAAAAAGTTTGATGGATTCTTGTCTTTCTTTTTCTTTTTGATGTAGGATAGTTATTATAGAGTTTTATTTAAAGCGCAAGAAAAAAGGTGTTGAGAGATATGACATAAAATTACAAGTAATGTTTTGTGTTGACAAAGGAAGAACCAAAAATTATATTTTATCGCTATAAAAAATATTGATTGACTAAATTGTTTTTCTTACAAATCATTTTGTTTATTAATTTGTGTACCCATTTCCACTTCCTATCTTTTAAATCCGTTCTTTATTACGATCTTTGATATTAAAAAATTTTTAATACCATATAGTTGTGAAACTTCCTAAAGTTATAAAATTGTCTTTTTTAAATTGAAATATAAATGAAGAAATCCCATTATATATATATATATACAGTTTTAATTTCGCGAATATTAAAGCAGGAAGCTGTTAATTTTGGAGGGAAAAAATGCATAATTCCAGTAGACATTTCTACTCCATTGGATATTTCTTACTATGAAATACTAAAAAATAGAAGCTAATAAGAACACTAATAATAATATGAAGGGGTTAGCCGAGAGCCGCAAGGTATTTTGTCAAACCGACATCTCGTCGTTCGCGATAAGACAAGCTGCGACGGAAAAAACACGGACGACTAAAAGTCCTTTAGAGGCGCGTAGACCGACCCAAACGCTCCGAAGAAAAAGCTTCCCGTTTAGGGGAGCGCGACATTGATTTTAATTCCAGCCGCTCACGAGCTCGCCGGCCCTGTCATATCCAATTACACGCTTGGCGCGCAACATTTTTTCAACGCCTCGCGAGATTAATCGCGAGCCGAGGGCAAAATCCGGGCCGGAGTTGTGGTGGCGCTCGGTCGGCTCTTGCAATCCTGCCGCTGATAATGGCTCGCGCGAGCCCCGCGAATCAATTTAATTGCCCTTCGTGTCAGGTGTGGCCGGTGCGCGGCGAGATTGAAAATGGAGAAACGGGCACCGCGGCGCGCACACGGTAATTGGCCAATTTGCAATTCCCGATCGATCCGCGGCTGGATAAGCGGGCCCGAATTCGGCCTAAATTGGATGATACTCGCTGTTGGAGAAGTCCGAAATCCATCCGGAGATCGGATTAACGATAATTTCCGGC